ATTTTTTTGCGTTCGGTCTCTCTCTCTCTCTCTCTCTGTCTTTCTGACAAGCCCACAAAACCTATAGCAAAAACCTCTCCAAAAAAAAAAAAGATTCTCAGGCAAAAACTAAGCTACAAAACAAGAGTTAAAACTTAAGGAATTTTTGAACTGTAAAGGAGTTTTAGAACTAAAAAGGACACTGGCCCCCATAGAGTCCAGTTTGCCAACAACACATGCAAGGTCCAGAGGAGTCTCTGCCATATATCTCATATAAAGGACTACTTATGTATCAGACTAGGATTTATTTACAATCCACTTATTCTTGTGGCCAGCAGGTGCTGGTCTCCCACACGGCCGACCAAGGTTTGAAGAGCAGCCTGAAAATCTCGCCAGGCACACACACATATATGTCCAAAATCCCAAGAGGAGACTAGAGAAGAGATTGTAGCATGGCCCCCTCTCCAGGGATACAGGGATTTCTTTCTCTCTCTCTCTCTCTCTCTCTCTCTCTCTGCTTCCTTATGGTGAGTACATGCACCATATAGCAAAAAAATTTAAAAAATTTGAAAAAGACCAGGAGGACCAGTAATGGCCATAACACCGAACTCACAGGAAAACTGTGGTTCAAGTCCCAAACCCGGTAGCTTAAACTCACACCAGGTACTTGTGAGTGTGTGCCCAAGATCCCGAGAGGAGAACAGAGGAGAAGGGATTGTGGTGTGGCCATCCCCCCGGGGGGTGATTTCTTGCTTTCTGTCTCTCTGTTTCTCCCTGTCTTTCCGGCAGGCGCGCGTGCCCTATAGCAAAAACCTCTCCAAAAATAAATAAATAAATAAATAAATAAATAAATTTTTAATACTCCATCCTTAGCACTTTTATTTCACTTAATTTTTCTATGACTTAGATCTTTGACAAAACTATCTGGAAACAGTGAATTGCTATGAACCCATAGTAAGATACCCTGTGCTTCCCTGTCCTGGTTCATTCACCTGTGACATCAGAATTCCTTCCTCATTTGCTCTCATTATGAAGAGAAACAGTTCTCAGATACAAGCGAGTGGGGCCTATATCAGATGTGCTGGTATCAGCACACACTCCACTGCTCTGCTCCAGGCTCAGCCTGGCACACTGCACAGCCTCTGAACATTATCCCAACATTCATACTGAGAAAATTCAGTGCCACCAGCTACTGCTGACCTGAAAGGCTATTTTCTTGTTTAAATCTTTCCTTTTAATAAATCTTAGGCCAAATTCTGAATTTGAAATTCACCTTAGGATATCTCCCTTGTTGAGATTTAGCAGGACATTGTAGCCCTGGAACTCTGCCTCACTGGAACAGAAGACACCTTTGTTCCTCAGGTCCTGGTACATTTCCTTCAGACTTTGCAAGCATTTGGTCATGTTCTCATTGTTGATCTTGGCATCAAAGGAGGACATAGGCTCCTCGCACATGAAATGAGCACAGTGAATATGAAATCGGGTGCATTTCTCGATCAGGGACACTGTCAGGGGGTCGCAGAGGTGCTGCTGTGTGATATCCTGGCCATGGGCGGGGGGAAGAATACATATTACACTCACACACATACATTGTACACACACATTCCTGTATATAGAGCCAACTTTAGGAAAAATCAGGCTTATTACCTGAATTTCTCACATTTCAATTAGAAACAAAACCCAAAAAGCACATTTAAATAGGATTTTGTAGGGCCAACCAGAGGTGTGGTGGGTATGGTGCTAGATCCCACACGGCTGACCAGACAGTTCAAGTCCCAGATCTAGTGGCTTAAAAAACATGCAGAGGGGACCAGCAGTTGGCGTAATGGCTATGTTGCTGGACTCCTACGTAGTTGACTGCGGTTCCAGTCCCAGACCCAGTGGCTTAAACTCACGCTGGGCAAGTGTGCATGCGTGCCCAAGATCCCAAAAGGAGAATGGAAGAGAAGGGATTGTGGCATGGCCATCCCCTGGGGGGTGATTTCTCGCTGTCTCTCTGTCTCTCTCTGTCTTTCTGGCAAGCGCACGTACCCTACAGTAAAAACCTCTCCAAAAATAAATAAATAAATAATTTTTAAAAAGAATTATTAAAAAAAAATGCAGAGTACATGTGCATGCATTCCAAAATCCCAAAAGAAGAAATGGAGAAGAGACTGCAACATGACCATCCCCAGTGAAGGGTACTTTCCCCCCTTCCCTTCCTCTCTCTCTCTGTCACTCTTCAGTAAGCACATGTACCCTTTGGCAAATTTTTAAAAATAACATAATATGAAATTAAAATAAGACTTTGTGGGACAAGCAGGTGGCGTGGTGATTAAGGCGCTGGACAGTCACACATGGCCAACCAGGGTTCAAGTCCTGAATCTGGTGGCTTGCTTTCTCACTTCCTCTCTCTCTCACTCTCAACCTGTCTCTCTCTGGTCAAATTAAAAAAAAAAAAAAAAAAGAATAAATAAAAATAAAATTAAAAAAAGACTTTGTAATAGTTTAAGTAAATGTGTATTTTCACTATAGATGGAATATGACTGAGATGAAAAGACCTATCAGTCTGACTTTGGAATTTACATGTGATTGCTTCCTGAGCAGAAGTAGCTGGTACCTTTCGTATGCCCCGTGTGCGGTTCCACACGAAGTCATACCAGTCCCGCAGGCTGCCCTCCTTCTGGTCCATGATCTGTGTCACCAGGTAATCCATGGTTCTGCTTAGCACTGCTGAAGGCCGCAGTTCATGCGGCAGGGGCTCCTCCTGATCAGCTGAGGACCGGCTATACTCCTTCACAGCAGCTGCATGGTCTACCTATAGACATGAAGAAGAGACAAGCAGCTTGTGTGGGAGGTGTTAGGCCCGACCCTCCCAACTACGTCATAAAGTAAGGGGGAAAATCACACACTTGCACAAGATCAATAATTGAGAATACCTTTTTTATATGTAAAATTTATGTTAAAAGGTGACAATCAAAATTCGAAGACAAAATAAATTGAGAAACTTGAGTTTGGCAAATATGACAAGGAATTAAGATGGTGTCATGAGAAGCAGAAGGAATATAAGTGAAAACACACCTGCCTGTCTCCAAAGCACAAAGATGTGACAGGTAAAGGATTTCAATGCATTTTACAAGGTCTCATCCATGCTCAAATGCCAGTCGTTAAGGTTATACACAAAATAGAGATGGACAAGGAGAACTAGTGAGGGCATAGTAGCAGAGGCCCAGTGGGATAGAAGCTGGCTCCAGAAGAAGCCTATAAGCTGCATCTTCCACCTACAAGAGGAGGGTGAAGACACATGGCAAAGGGGAGAAGCAGACATCCACAACACTGATCCCTGGGCCTCTACAGTGACACCTCTTGTTGGGCTGGGGACCCTGCATAGTGCAAAGGCAGCCATAAAACCACCAGTCAGGGAGAGGAGCAGCAAAATTAACAAGAAGCAAAAGGATCAAAATTGGTCCATATTTCTTTTTTTTTTTTTTGGAGAGGTTTTTGCTATAGGGCACGTGTGCTCACCAGACAGAGAGAGACAGAGAGACAGAAAGCGAGAAATCACCCCCTGGGGGGATGGCCATGCCGCAATCCCTTCTCCTCCGTTCTCTTCTTGGGATCTTGGGCATGCACGCACATGCGCCTGGCGTGAGTTTTTAAGCCACTGGGTCCGGGACACAAACCGCGGTTAACTACATGAGAGTCCAGCAACATAGCCATTATGCTAACTGCTGGTCCCGGTCCATATTTCTAGGCAGTTAGGGAACATGAATGGATAAACAGTCCAGAAACATGAATGGATAAAAATACCCGCTGATGCAGTAGTTTAATTTAATTCTTAGGGTTTATCTGAACAATCTAAATACCATATAAGCATTATACATAGAAGCCAGACAAAAAAAAAATTAATAAAACTGAAAAATTAGAAATAGCTTGTATAATGATTGCAAAAACGTGAAGTTTTGAAATAGCTACATAAACAAATCACAAGCTGTCACTAAAACTGTTTGTAAGATTTTGTCATGGTCGGGAACCAGCAGTTAGCATAATGGCTATGTCGCTGGACTCCCAAGTAGTCGACCATGGTTTGCATCCCGGACCCGGTGGCTTAAAACTCACACCGGGCACGTGTGCGTGCGTGCCCAAGATCCTGAGAGGAGAATGGAGGAGAAGGGATTGCGGCGTGACCATCCCCCCTGGGGGGGGATTTCTCGCTTTCTGTCTCTGTCTCTCTCTGTCTGTCTGGCGAGCGCATGCACCGTATAGTGAAAATCTCTCCAAAAAAAAAAAAAAAGATTTTGTCATGGTATCAGCAAATGGCACAATGATTGCATTGCTGGACTCTCACATGATCAACCGTGTTGTTCCTGGACATAGCAGCTTAAAACATACCAGGCATGTATGCATGTATGCCCAAAATCCTGAGAAGAGAATGGAGAAGGGATCGCAGTATGGCCATCACCCCTGGGGAGTGATTTCTCACCCTCTATCTTTCTCTGGCAAGTGCATGCACTATATAGCAAAAATCTCTCTCTAAAAAATTTAAAAAGACTATCATAACAAAGGAAAATGTTCATGAATAATTTTAAGTGAAAAAATATACATACAAAATTATACCTAGAGCATAATATCAAATGTGCATAACATAAACACAGAAAATGATAAGAAAAAAATTGTTAAAAGTGAGGGGAGCTTCGGGACCAGCAGTTAGCGTAATGGCTATGTCACTGGACTCCCACGAAGTCAACCACGGGTCAAGTCCCGGACCCAGTGGCTTAAACTCACACCAGGTGTGTGTGCGTGTGTGCCCAAGATCCCGAGAGGAGAATGGAGGAGAAGGGATTAGGCGTGGCCATTCCCCCTGGGGGGTGATTTCTCACTTTCTGTCTCTCTCTGTCTGTCTGGCAAACACACGCGCCCTATAGCAAAAACCTCTCCAAAAAACAAAACAAAAAAAAAGTGAGGGGAGCTTGATCTATAGTGATTAAATGTATAAATAACAATTAAAATTAATAAATCACAAAAAAAAAGAAAGAGATATTTGCACACCATGTTTACTACAGCATTACTAAGAATACCTAAATGGAATACTAGCCAAAAAAGAATAAAGTTGGAGGAATCACACTATCTGACTTCAACATCTATTGCATGAATGAACCTAAGTGCCCAATAACTGATGAATAGATAAAGGAAACGTGATATTTATACACAATGGAATACTTCGCAGCTGTAAAGAACAATGAGTTCCCTGTATTTGAGACAAAGTAGATGGATCTAGAAGATATATTGCTAAGTGAAATAAGTCAGGCTATGAAAGACAAATACTGTACATCCATGCTTAATAAATACTAAGCATCCTCACTCATTAGCAGAAGCTAAATGACGTGATAACATAGACGTGGAGAGAAGAATGGTGGATACAAGATGCTGGGTGACCAAATGAGGCAAGTGGGGAGAAATCGGTTGAATGACACGAGAGTGGATGAAAATAAGTAAAACAAATTTTAGAACGGTGTGCCACTGTTTACACATAAATGAATGTGACACATGAATGCTGGTGACAAAGTTATATATACTTCCAAAAACCAGCAGAGCCATTTTAAAATGTGTACAACATAATGTTCAATGCTGAATGGTGGATATGCTTATATCTTTGATTTGATTATTGCACACTATACAGAAAACCACACTGTACCTTACAAAGATGTGGAATGATTATATGTAAATAAAAAATAATAATTAAAAAAAAAAAACTGAGGGGAGCCAGCCCCATAGCTTAATGGTTAAGGGAGCCAGATCCCACAAGACTGAACACAGTTCAAATCCCAGCCTCAGCAGCTTGGGAAACATGTCAGGCACATGTATGTGTTCACAGGGTTATGACAGAATGGAGAAATGGAGGCAAAGAGATTGCAGTATAACCAGTTAAGGAGGTGCTTTCTCCCTCTCTTTTCTCTCTCTCCAGCAATTATAAAAATAAAAATAATTTTTAAATAAATAAATTTTTAAAACAATTTTATTAAAATTAAAAAAAAAAAAAAAACTACATCTAGGTTAACTCTGGCACAGCAGTAATGAATACACTGCTCAAGAGAAACCTGGCATTCAAGGTTTTCGTCCCCTCCTAGTAGGCCTGAGACATACCAGGCACAGTCACAAGTACCCAGGATCCAATCCACTTGAGGAATGAAGGAAGAGAACAGCAATGTGACCAGACCCAGTGAAGGGTACTCTTCTCCCTACCCTTCTCATGTACACACACGTACACGTACTCTGTGGTGAATAAAGGAAAAAAAACTACATCTGTACCTTATCGTGTATAAATACCATGTGATCTAGTTACATTACACAAAGATTGCTTAGTAAACCTGTCACAATACAAAAGAGTTTAATATGATTGCTCATAGCACAAATCTCCACCACTCTCTGAAAAACTCAAGTATCAGTATGTATAGAAATTATAAGAGGTAAAGCCTTTCCTCTCTCTCATACACCTGCCCCCACCTGCCAGGAGGATGTGGAGCTCTACCTGGTCAGTCCCTGGGACCACTTCAAACACACTCAGCTGGCTGCGAGTCTCCCGCATGTAGCGCTCCTTCTCAGGACACATATCTGGACAAGTCCCAACAAAAGTCCTTGCTTTGTCCAAATCAGTTCTTTTCACCCGTGCTAAATGACATAAAATAAAACATAATAGGAAAAGTTACTCTGTTTTAAAAAGTAAAAGGTAAGGATTTATCACACAGCTACTAAGATGATCAAAGGAAAAGTTAAAAAAAAAAAAACAAAAAAACACAAGCTGGCCCCATAATGCAGTAGTTAAATGCTATGCAGAGGTGGGGACCAGCAGGTGGCATGATGGTTAAGGTGCTGGACACTCCCACATGACCGACTATGGTTCAAGTCCTAGACCTGGCGACTTGCTTTCTCACTTTCCCTCTTTCTCCCTGTGTGTCTCTCTCTGGTCAAACTAAAAATATATGAATGAATAAATAAAATGAAAGAAATAATTTTTTAAAAATAAATGCTATGCAGAGGAAGCTGGATCCCATATGGTGACCAGGGCTGGAATCTCAGACCCAGCACTCTAAAAAACACACCAGGCACATACCCATGCCTAGGATCCTGATGGGATAAAGAATTAGAGAAAAAGAATTGCAGCATGACTGGGTCACATTAGGAGGTGCACTCTCTCTCTCATGTATGTGCACATACATACCCTTGAACATTAAAATAAAACCCACAGGTCAGCTGGTGGTATGATGATTAAGGCAACTGAATCCCACATGGCCAACTGTGCAGTTCAAGTCTTGGACATGATGCCTTGAAAACCATGCCAGGCACATGCATGAATGACTAAACTACCAAAATAATAAAAGAGAAGGGAATGCAGTGTGGCCATTCCCCATGGGGTGTGCTTTTTCACTTTCTCTCTTTTCTGGCAAATGCATGTGCCCTATAGCAAAATTAAAAGAAAAGAAAACCTACACACAAATTACAAAGGAAAGGAAAAATTTTTTAAACTCTGGGCTTTAAAGGAAGGGACTTCTGGCTTATCACAATAGGCAGCAGGGCAGCAAGGCTCATCAAGGCTTAGGACCAGCAGTTAGCGTAATGGCTATGTCGCTGGACTCCCACATAGTCGACCACGGTTCAAGTCCCAGACCCGGTGGCTTAAACTCACGCTGGCCGCGTGTGCGTGCGTGCCCAAGATCCCAAGAGGAGAACAGAGAAGGGATTGCAGTGTGGCCATCCCCCCTGGGAGGTGATTTCTCGCTTTCTGTCTCTCTGTTTCTCTCTGTCTGTCTGGCGAGCCCACGCACCCTATAGCAAAAACCTCTCAAAAAAAAAAAAAAAAGGCTCATCAAGGCTCATGAAGACCCTGCCATTCCCTCTCCAACAGTCACAGGACTGCAAAACAGACTAGGTAGAAGGCATCCTCATTTGGCGCCGGGTACACTGATGTGATCTGTAACTAGTTATAGCTTTTTTTTTTTGGAGAGGTTTTTGCTATAGGGCATGTATGCTCACCAGACAAACAGAGACAGAGAGACCAAAAGCGAGAAATCACCCCCCAGGGGCGATGGCCATGCCGCAATCCCATCTCCTCCATTCTTTCAGGATCTTGGGCATGCACGCACACGCACCTGGTAAGCCACCAGGTCCAGGACTCGAACTACAAAATAATGTACTCCCACTACGTGGGAGTCCAGTGACATAGCCATTATGCCAAATGCTGGTCCCTCGTTATAGCTTTTATAGCACTTATAATCTCAGTGATAAAAAAAATTATCATACAGGATGTTTGTTAAAAGGATCAAGTTAAGGAACCAGCAGTTAGCGTAATGGCTATGTCGCTGGACGCCCACGTAGTTGACCGCGGTTCGTGTCCCAGACCCGGTGGCTTAAAACTCACGCCAGGCACGTGTGCGCGCGTGCCCAAGATCCCAAGAGGAGAATGGAGGAGAAGGGATTGTGGCGTGACCATCCCCCCGGGG